CATGCCAGAATTGTGATTTTGAAACTGTTGAAGTTATTACCACGTTCTACTAAATGCAATATAGAAGCTAAGAATGATCTTCAAAATAGACCACTCCATTTAGCATGTCAGTCAGGAAATGTAGACATTGTACGTCATCTTGTGAATGACAAAAACTGTGATGTTAATGCTAAAGAGAGGAATGGCTCTACACCATTACACTTGGCATGTTTAAATTGTAATTTTGAAACTGTTCAATTTCTTACCAGAGTTTTTGATTGCAATATAGAAGCTGAAAATAATGATCAAGATAGACCACTCCATTTAGCATGTCAGTCAGGAAATGTAGACATTGTATGTCATCTTGTGATTGATAAACACTGTGATGTTAATGCTAAAGGGAGGAATGGCTCAACTCCATTGCACATGGCATGCTTGAAACGTGATTTTGAAACTGTTGAAGTTATTACCAGTTCTACTGAATGCAATATAGAAGCTGAAAATGATTTTCAAAATAGACCACTCCATTTAGCATGTCAGTCAGGAAATGTAGACATTGTACGTCATCTTGTGATTGATAAACACTGTGATGTTAATGCTAAAGGGAGGAATGACTCAACTCCATTGCACATGGCATGCTTGAAATGTGATTTTGAAACTGTTGAAGTTATTACCAGTTCTACTGAATGCAATATAGAAGCTGAAAATAATGACCAAGATAGACCACTCCATTTAGCATGTCAGTCAGGAAATGTAGACATTGTACGTCATCTTGTGATTGATAAACACTGTGATGTTAATGCTAAAGGGAGGAATGGCTCAACTCCATTGCACATGGCATGCTTGAAACGTGATTTTGAAACTGTTGAAGTTATCACCAGTTCTACTGAATGCAATATAGAAGCTGAAAATGATTTTCAAAATAGACCACTCCATTTAGCATGTCAGTCAGGAAATGTAGACATTGTACGTCATCTTGTGATTGATAAACACTGTGATGTTAATGCTAAAGGGAGGAATGACTCAACTCCATTGCACATGGCATGCTTGAAATGTGATTTTGAAACTGTTGAAGTTATTACCAGTTCTACTGAATGCAATATAGAAGCTGAAAATAATGACCAAGATAGACCACTCCATTTAGCATGTCAGTCAGGAAATGTAGACATTGTACGTCATCTTGTGATTGATAAACACTGTGATGTTAATGCTAAAAGGAGGAATGGCTCAACTCCATTACACATGGCATGCTTGAAATGTGATTTTGAAATTGTTGAAGTTATTACCAGTTCTACTGAATGCAATATAGAAGCTGAAAATAATGATCAAGATAGACCACTCCATTTAGCATGTCAGTCAGGAAATGTAGACATTGTATGTCATCTTGTGATTGATAAACACTGTGATGTTAATGCTAAAAGGAGGAATGGCTCAACTCCATTACACATGGCATGCTTGAAATGTGATTTTGAAATTGTTGAAGTTATTACCAGTTCTACTGAATGCAATATAGAAGCTGAAAATAATGATCAAGATAGACCACTCCATTTAGCATGTCAGTCAGGAAATGTAGACATTGTACGTCATCTTGTGATTGGTAAACACTGTGATGTTAATGCTAAAGGGAGGAATGGCTTAACTCCATTACATGTAGCATGTCTAAATTGTAACTTTGAAACTATTCAATTTCTTACCAGTTCTACTGAATGCAATATAGAAGCTGAAAATAATGATCAAGATAGACCCCTCCATTTGGCATGTACATGTAAATTACAAAATATAAACATTGTACGTCATCTTGTGATTGACAAACACTGTGACATTAATGCTAAAGGGAGAAATGGCTATACACCATTACATTATGCATGTGACAAGGGTCATTTTGAACTTGTTAAAATTCTGAGTAATCATCCACAATGTAATATTGAAGCTGAAGATAATTACAATAGAAGGCCATTACATTTTGCATTTAATAATCGATTTCCTGACATGAATATTGTCAATTATCTTGTTGAAGTTAAAGGTTGTAATACTCAGGGCATAACAACATATAATAGGAGAACTCGAAATTATCTTCATATTCATCAATCCAGTGGTATAGCATTATTACGTGTTGTTAAGTGTATATTGACAGGCCCTCCTGGTGCTGGTAAGAGTACATTAAAAAAGAGACTCCTCAATCAATCTCTTGATACAGGTCCTTCTCTTAGTACTGGTGTAATTGATGCAGTGGTACAAGTTGACTCATTTCGTAAGCTATCACAGCACAATGCAGTAGTGACTACAGAATGGAAGGAACAGGAACTTGATGAAGAAGCTATACTGATCACTAAAAAACTATTACCAGCAAACAATACGTCAGATGAAAGTACTAGACCTATTGCACCTAATGAAACATCAGATGAATGTACTGGTACACCTCAGCCTACATCAGTGGATGAGACAGTAGGTCTAACTTCATCATTTGAAAACAAACAAGAATCACCAAAAGGAATTGATTTGTCTCCTATTACTAGTCAACAGGGCTATACAAGTGTTGGTGCTTCTTCACCAGTGTTCATGGAGGCAGCAATTGACACAGTTGTCATTGGTGAGAGCTCAATGGAGCATGAAAATGTACCCAATTCACCTGCAAAAAAAGTTGATCGTGAATTAGAAGAAACCAAAAGTAATACTGAAATACAAAAAATCAGCTGTTCAGTAAATGATTGTATCAGAGGTTTATCAGATTATGTAAAGAAGATACCTGTTAGAAAGAGAGAAGAATATGAGAGGAAATTTGAAGAAGCAAAAGATGAAAAGCACACGATGTTGCACATCATTGATACTGGAGGACAACCTGAGTTTCATGAAATATTACCAGCTCTTATAACTGGCCCAGCTATCAATCTACTGGTATTCAAACTAACTGAAGATTTAAGGAGTCGCTATGAAATAATCTATCGAACCTCTACTGGTGATTCTAAACCTTATGAAACCTCATTGACACATGAAGAAGTGATATTCCATTCACTAGCAAGCATAGCTTGTTTAAGACAAAACACTATTGGATGGAGTTTTGATGAAATACCTATTAAAGATAATTCAGAACCCGTTGCCTTCCTTATTGCTACACACAGAGACCAAGTTGATGAGAATAAAGTGAGTGAAGTCAACCAACAACTGAGAACCAAGATAGAGAACAGCTCACACTTTTTTGACTCTGATCTTATACAGTTCTCTCAATCGGAGCAAGTCATTTTTCCACTTGACACCACAAAGGATGAAAAAGAACTAGATCATCTTCGTTTTCTACTTCATGACGCTATAGCTAAAAAATTCCAGGAATTAGAAATACCAGCATCTTGGTGTACTCTTAGTTTAAAATTAAGAAAAAGTAAAAAAAAGCTTTTCAAATATGATACATGTTTTGATTTAGCTCAAGAGTGTGGTATCAAGGATACAGAAGAGTTTATTAATGTTTTATGGTATTTACATCACAGAGTGGGCATCATCATGCACTATCCTAATGTAGCAGGTCTGGAAGATATTATCATCACTGACCTTCAACTGGTGTTTGATCGTATCACTAATCTCATCACAACTTGCTTCACTTTTGAACAGTCAGGTAGTGCTGCTGTGGAGAGAGAGTTTCGTAAAAATGGACGCTTTTCAGAGTCACAACTAGATAAAATTTCATTACGAGAGAAAGGTGATCCTCTTAATGCAAAGAGGCTAGTAGCACTACTGAAGCATCTTTATATTGTAGCTGGTCCTATGAAAGATAAAGTTGGTAGAAAATCTGTCAAGTATTATTTTATGCCTTGTGCTCTGAAACCAGCAGATGTAGAAAGAGAGGAGAGAGATGGGTCAGTTAGTCCAGCTCCTTTATTGATATGTTTTGAGTGTGGGTATACTCCTGTTGGTGTATTCTGTTGTCTAGTAGTGTATCTTCTTGATCAGAAGACAGATCAAGTAATGAGTTGGAAATTATCTGGTAATGATCAATATCGTAACAGGATTACCTTTCAAGTTGGGCAATACTATGATACTGTTACCTTAATCTGTCGTGCTACTTATCTTGAAGTTTGGATTCAGCAAATAAAAGGTTCAAAACTGTCGACAAGTGATTTATTATTATCATTGCACAAAGGACTAGTCACAGTGACACAATCACTCCATTACACTTACAAGTCAAAGCATATGTTTGGAGTACCATGTACAGTTTGTACTGCAGTACCTCATCCTGCTGTAATTGAATTTAATGAAAGTGCAACTATGTGTGTGAATGGCAGAATAGTTGAGTTTAATGAAAAACAATTATACTGGTCCACTAAGGTAAGTAGCAATACATCATTTGCAAACTATATGGTTGTATTAAATGTGTGTGTATAGGTTGTTGAGCTGAATAACACAACACAAAATACAAGCAGCAAAATACCACCTCAAACTGGTAAATCAATCAATTTGACATGTTTATAATTAAAATACTTTAGAATCAATATGTGTTTACATTTTGTCTTTTAGTTTGTCCTAGAGACTTGTTTCGTGAACATTCAGCTGATATTACCCAGTGCATCTCATTAGATGTAATACGTGTTGCTGATAGACTGTTTGCTGCAAAAGTGATACCTGAAGCATTAAGAAATAGAATATCCACAGTGCTTGGTTTAGATGGCTATGAAAAAGCCAACAGAATAACAATTCACATTCAAAATACTCTCAGTTCTCATTCAAATCCAATTGAGTATCTTACTGATGTGTGCTATGCATTGTTCCGTTTAGAAAATGAAATACTCAAGCACTTTCTTATTAGCATACTAAACAAGCTAGGAAAACCCCCACCTCAAGGTAAATACCAATATATTGGACCTGTTTTACACATTATTATGTATATAGGAAGCATACAGGATATCAGTAAAAGCTCTTCTATACTAAACAAAAGGCCAAGAACAGCACAAGGCACATACATCATCACTAATCAATTAATTATTACAAATTCATAGATGACGCATCTCCTGGCAAGAGGTTTGAGATAGACCCTGAAGGTTCTTATGACAGTACTTTTGATGAAGGAGAGTCCTCTGGTAGTGGTATTTTACAAAATGAAAGTAGAGGACACAAGAGACAGAGAGAAGATAATAGTTCCCCTGAAACTTTTACTAAAATGAAAAAGTCAACAACTTAAACCTCAAAAGTTATTGCTATAATCCTTTGTCACTTATTATTGCAACACAATCACTTAACATTACACTTTTGTCACTTAGCTTTTTGTTATAAATAATACAACCACACAATTTGGACATTAAAAATATTAAATAGAAATCATTATAATAGTCATTTCACAAATCATTTCTTGAAGGAGGAACCATCTAAAACAAAAAGAAGATGAATACATTATGTCTTCTTGACCATCTCATCCTCTCTCTCTCTTCTCAGGATCCATTACTCTCTCCTTCCCAGCTTACCTTCACTTGTTGTCACCTCCTCCTCCTCCTCCTGTTGTTGTTGTATTATTATTATTAGAGACAAACTGTATTGTTCTAAGTGATGGCTTGATTGGTGTATCCAATAATAACTTCATTGCATACCATTTACCTTGAAGCTACAACAAATACAATATATAAGTTATAATTATACGTGAAAAAATTACTATGAACAATTGCGTACAATCTTAATATTAAAAACTTACTTTCTCTATTTGTCCAGCAGCAAGATCAAGGAAAACCTGTCCCAGTTCTTGTTCCTTCCTTAGATCAAATTGTGCCAGTTCGTCAGATAAATCTCTACAAATCATCTCAAGATATTCTTTGGCATCTGAGCAGTTGCTGCTAGCTTGAGCCCACTTCTCACTAATAGAATCATCAAGGCCAATTTTTCTCCTTGAGGGTGACCAGCAACTACCGCCATGAGCATTAGTAGTATCTGGTGTTGACTCATCTCTTGAATGACAGCTGCTAGTATTCCCTCCTCCTCCTCCTCCAGTACTGCTACCCACTGATACTACTCACTCCACTGTCATCAAACACTTCATCTGCTACTCCACCAGTGACTGGGACATCATGACTACTGAGACTCTGTATAATAATATAAATATTAATTAATATTTAACACTTAATGTTTAGAAATACCGAATGACAGACACACACAACAACTACCTATACCTCGCATAGGCGAGGCCAATAAAGACATCAATATGTATCAGAAAATGTAATAAAAGTGTTTGGTGATTTCAAAGCTATTTTTTTAAATCCATGGGCCTTTGCTTTTTTCAAAAATTGGCCCATTTTTAAAAATGGTCATAACTTGTAAATTTTTGTCAGAAACAGCTTAAACTTTCTAAATACAAATGTAGCATAAAGACATCAGTATGTATCCCAAAATGTAATATGAAGGGCGCTTAATAACCCGTTAGTACGGTATGTAATAAAAATTAAATATCACTAAAAATTAAATATCACTAAAAATAAAATAATTTCGCATACTTAATGTATTGACAAGTCCCTTTTCCACTAGCCTCTGCCAGCCATGAGGTACAACTACTGCTGAGCTTGGTGGAGGTTCCATTTATTTTCTAAAAAGTATATAAAGAAGAGATCTCATTTACAAATCAGTGAAATCACATGTAAGCACATGGGTGGGAGTGGCTACTACTGAAACCACTCCTCTAAATCAAGATGGCTGCCTTGATGGAGGTTTTGGTTTTGTTGATGTTACTGTTTTATAAATTGTCGTATTAAAATCTGCTGAACGATTTATTGACTTTGTTAATAAAGGACCCTCCTCTTATCATGGTATAGATCTAGTACAGTTTATTGTCCTAATATTTTGTGTTGCAGCCAATTTCTGCCAATTTCTGAATACTCTGTACTATAGCCCATGGTCTTTGGAAAATGGCTTGAAATCACCCCAAATTTTCATTACATTTTCTGATACATATTGATGTCCTTACACTGTATAGAAAGTTTGAGCGGATTCCGACTTTAATTTTTCAAATTACGTAGCCATATTAAAAGCTTTGAAAAAAAGGCTCCAAAATAAAGGCAAAATTTTATTACATTCTGATACATATTGATGTCCTTATGCTGTGTAGAAATTTGAGCTGATTGTGACTTCTTTTTTATTTAGGTCCATTTAAAAACACCGAAATAAAGAAATGCTATAGCCTTAGGTTTTTTTTTGCAAAAAATGGCTCCAAAATCACCCCAAATTTTTATTACATTTTTTGATGCACAATAATGTCCTTGTGCTGTGTAGAAAGTTTGAGCTGATTCTGACTTCAATTTTTTAATTTGTAGCCATGAAAATTTTTTTAAAATGCCCATGGTTTTTTCCAAAAAACCCTCCAAAATCACCTTACATTTTTTGATACGTAATGATGTCCTTATGCTGTGTAGAATATTTGAGCTGATTGTGGCTTTATTTTTTTTGATTTATGGACATTTTGAAAATACTAAAATTTTGAAAAATACCCAAGGCCTATCATTGTCTTGGGCTTTTTCCAAAAAATGGCTCCAAAATCACCCCAAATTATTATTACATTTTTTGGCACATATTGATGTCCTTATGTTGCAAAGAAAGTTTGAACTAAGTCAGGTATTTTATGAATTTTTTGAAGTTGATGCAAAATTGGGTAAAAGTCTTTGTGCAATTATAGTACATGGCTCACACTAAATGCCAAAAATGGCTATAATGTATGCATGTACGTATAATTATGTGTACATTTTTTATGTAGAAAGCTTCAGATTTAGTTTGTGAGGCCAACAGGAGAGGAGAGACGTTCTTCAAACCATACGTAAGCGCTTTATTCCATTTTCATTTTATTTTATATTTCAGGAGCTCACCTCGTCTCTGAAGAAAGACTTGGAAGCCGTAGAAAAAGACAATAATTCATATATAACGATCATGTTCCTGATTTTGGGACTCTTGAGCCTCCTGGTAGAGCCTCTATTGCTAAGGCGATACAGTTTCAGTCCCCAGCCTCAAACTTCCTTGATTTATTTACTAATATTGTTCCTCTACCTGTCAGTTGTGCTATGTCCAATTATAATAGCAAGAAGGATGCACTTTTCAATGGGGAACTTGAGAAACTGAGGAACGCAACATCTTCCTTGAACGAGTGAGTCTAGAACAATGTAGGGCCTTTGTTATTTTTTTCATTACTTTGTATTTGAAAATTATTCAAATATTTGTGATTTAAATTCCTACCAATTTAGCTCTTAAGCCTTGCTAGTAAGAATCTTCCAGCTGCCATTGAAGACACTGGCGGTAATGCTGTGCCTGACTCCATTAAAGAGAAGAGTCAAGGGATTCGTGAACAAGGAGGGATACAATCACTTGAGGATAAACTTTATTCACTACCTGAACTGCTAACAAGGAACAGAGAGATACTTGATGAGGTACGTTACATATTTATACATGTATTACATGGACAATTGTACATACATGTACATGAACATGAATCATGTATCATGTATATTTATTTGCACTATTGCAGAGTCTTTTGGCCTGATTTATTAGCAACTTTAAAAATTCATAAAAATCCAATTTTGATCAGAATCAACTCAAACTTTCTATACAGCATAAGTACATGTATATGTATCAGAAAAAAAATAAAAATAGATAATTCTTTCCTCATCATTTTTGGTGAAATTTGACCAAAATCCCTGTACTATAGTACAGGGACTTTGGTCCGATTTTGGAGCAACTTTAAAAATTCATTAAAAATTCAATTTTGATTGAAATCAACTCAAACTTTCTACACAGCATAAGTACATGTATATGTATCAGAAAAATTATAAAAATGGAAAATTCTCTCCTAGTCTTTTTTGACAAATTTGGTCAAGGTCCTATATGGGAGCTTTGGTGTGATTTTGAGCAACTTTAAAAATTCATAAGAACTCAAACTTTGATTGCTAGTTTCACTACACAACATGTGACTGTATAGTCTATGTAGATGTACATGTATCAGAAAAATGGAGAAATTTCTGCTCACAATTTTTGACAAAGTGCCTTGTATAATACAGGGCCTTTGGCTAAATATTTGAACAATTTTAAAACTTTTATATTGATCAGAATCTGCTCAGAATTTCTACACATCATAAAATCATGTATTTATGTAAATCAATAATAATATGATTTCTTTTCTTTCTAGACTCAGAGGATGCTTGACGAAGAAGAGAGAGATGATACAGCACTGAAGGAGAGATTTGGCTCAAAATGGAAGAGAACTACATCAAATGAACTGACACAGAGCATTCGTGGTGAAGTGGCAAAATTTCAAGGAATTGCTGAATCAGCAACTAAAGTAAATTAGTACTGCCATAATAATATATATTTATCCATCAGTATAGTAATATTAATAATTATTTCATTTGTTCACAGTATGTCATGCCATTGGTGTGTATTATTCATCTCTCCTTGTATTCATTGTTCTGTATTTAGAGCTTTTATTGTGATTTATCAGCAATACCATCTATGAGTAGCACTTTTCTTTATTCATTCATTCTTTTATTGTGTACTTCTTTGTATTTTCATATCTCCCTCTACCCTCACTCTCTCTCACACTCACACACACACACACACACAAACACACACACACACACACACAAACACACACACACACAAACACACACACACAAACACACACACACACAAACACACACACACACACACACTCTCTCTTTCTCTTCCTCTCTCTCTTTGTAGGCTGATTCAACCGTTAGAGAGAAATTTGAGACACATCGTCCGGCTATTGTGACACTCACAAAGAGCGAGACTGACCCTGCCTAAAGCTGGTGCAATGGCACTTATGGCAGCCATCAAAGCTGGAAGCCCAGTATGAGAAAAATAAAAAAATAATGATTAATCTTCAATGATGTTATTTCTAGTCTGTCCAAGAGCTTCGTTCATTGATGGAGGATGTGAAAACGATAAAAGCTGAGAGAGAAGTGTTGGAGCAACAGCTAAAAGGGCCAATTGCTGACATTAGTAAGAAAAAACCATTGATAATATACTTGTACTTGCTTCTCTTTCTCTCTCTTATTGTTTCTCTTCCTTCTCATAGCATGCATCATAATTACTTCCGAATGGCAAAATGGCTACTTTGCCATTCATTTGTACGTCACTATAAACTCTTCTGGCAAGCCTCCTTAATAGACCCAGGGATGCAAAGGAAGCAAAAAGTCGTCAGATAGAGAATTAGTGAAGCGGCTGAAGTGAACACAGTCTTGTCTTGTTACTCCTATAGTTATTGCTATCGCTACTTTTCTGCTAAATATTGCTATAATTGTACTCCTTTTCTGCCTTGTGCTGTAAAAAGAAGCTGTGGAAAAAGCAACTTTACTGCTGTAAGCGAATAAGGCTCATTAATTTTTGCCATACGGAAATAATTATGACATCAAGAAGTGACATCACTGCAACCACTCTAAACAGTCATAAGAATTCTCATTTTTAAATAATTTTTTCTGATATAGATGTACCTATGCATATACTTATATGTTGTGTAGAAAGTTTGATCTTTTTTGGATCAAAATTGAGTTTTTTAACGAATTTTTAAAGTTGCTCAAAAATTCGGTAAAAGTCCTTGTCTTGGGCCAAAATTTCTCCAAAAATGGCTAGGTTAGAATTCTCCATTTTAATAATTTTTTTTGATACATACATGTATATGATTTGTAATAATTATCATGCTCACAAATAGGGTCATCTCATGGTGGCTGACAATTGTTGTGAATGTCCTTCTTGTCATTTCCCAGCACTTTATTCAAAGTTTAAGAAGTATGCATGTACATGTACATGTATATGATCCAAAATAAAGTTTATCCATTGTCATTATTGCAGGTTATTAGAGTCAGAGAATACATGCCCATTATGTTCAGCAGAGATCTCTTCTAAGTCGATTCAACCATAGATAATTACCTCTGATATACAGACTAAATGAAGAAATTATTGTTACATTAATCCATCACTTATGTACATGTATCCCCCTTTCATTTATAAAGAACATTGCAGTTATTATAATGTATATCATTAATAATAGCATGCTAGAGTTGGTGGATACAGCTCCTAAGACTTTGCACCTCTAGTCACAGAATAACCTATTCAGTCACAGAATAACCTATTCTATACAGATTGGTTTGTTTGACAGTTAGACACTCTATCAACTGTACCAAGGTCTTTGCCCCTGGGCCCCACTGCATTATGCACTGATGCATGGTTACACTTGTGGTTACAATAATTGATTTCTGAAGAATTCTAATGCTGTTAAAAATTGAGTAAAAATTATTACCCTGCAGTGATGCATCTACTCCTACACTTTAAATTGATCAAAATTATTTTATAATATATGCAGTTGTTGAGCATATTTCTTTTTGAAACCTGACCACTGAATATGTCCTTTGCTTCTACTATTATAAGGGTTTGAAGAATTGAAGATGTCCAGGCTTGCAGTCAAGACTTGACCTGTAGATATTTCTGAAATTATTATTTAAAAGCAAAAATAGAAGTGATAAAAGTGATAACAGTTGAAACTAAAACTGGATATGAATTAGAGAGAAAAATGCAGTAAAAATGTAATTAAAGTTTATTTTGAAAAAACTCAATACGGGCGAGCCTGATAATTATGAATTGTTCATATCAAAATTTTATTGTTGTCAAAATTAAAATTTGCTGCACGTGCACTTCACGACTTCGCTTCACTGCTTCAGCCAGCACTTGACTTGTCTGGTTTTCTGAAGGCTAAGAGGTGAAGGAGGGTTTCGTCCAGTCTCACTGGCAGTCTTTTGCTGTCCATGTACTGGTGTAGTAGTAGTTCTGGTGCCCAGTGGTACGGGTTTGGCCAGCGAATTTGGCTAATGTTCTCGATTTCTTGCGTCTCTAGGAGCGCCCTCCTGTATTATCTGTGACGGAAGAATTTTAAAAGTGACTTTAAAGTAAATTTCGCTTTACTTGAGCGTATTTTATATTAGATGGAATTTTGGTTGTTAAAGTTTCTCTTTAGATGTCCTATCTATATCTATAGACCCTTTGTACTGTATAATAGTTCCAGTCTTCTCCCCGAGCTTCTTGTACCCTAACTAAAGTGTACCAGCTGCTCAGTAGTAATAATTCAAACTAAAGTAAACTGGTGAGTTCTGTTGGGCTTGTGTAGCCATTAAAATTGATAAATTGAGAAGGGCGACCTCTCTGTGTAGCATATTATTTTAATTTGTGACCATGTCAATTGATGTAATTATTTATTATTTAATTTTGCTACATGTAATGCGTCTGAATATTATGGGAACAAAGATTTGGGAGGAATGGACTAATAGACCCTATAGGGCGCTAATTTTTGCAAGTAATTATTGCATTACGGTATCCACCCACACTCATGATTTGGACGGCAAGATACACTGTAGCTACATGGGGAAGCAAGGATCAAGAGGCCTTCGTGGCTTCCAGAGCCTGCCTGAGTGGCAATAAATGCCAGTAAGAGTGAAGAACAAAGCCCAGAATGTCTCCTGAGAAAAAGCTTCATTGTACTTGAAGTCACTTGTCCACAAAGGCTGCTTTTGGTCTCCTATCCATTGGTTTTGCCTTGTTTTGCTGTCCAGCAGAAGAATTTCAAAATTTTTTCATTAAAGAATGCAGATAGGATACAGATCATTACGAATAGCATCTCATATATAGTATCTATAATTGCTCCTAGAAGTCAGCGCCCTATAGGGTCTATATGCAATTTATAATCTTGTAGTTGCTAAATTGCTATTAGTAACGCGGTAGCGTTACTAAGTAGGATTCATCCCAAAACAAAATGGCTGCCACAACTTTTGCAGCCTTGCTATACCGGGAAAACAAGCTCCTATGCTTACCAGACTTCTCAGAGGACCTTATCTTGACCAGAGGACTCCATAGGTACCACTAGCGTGGCTCTACACCTTGTCTAAGAGGAAAGTCAAAAATCGGCAAAACGGCCATTTTGTTCAGTCGTCTTCATCATCATCATCTTCATCATCATCATCATCTCCTGTCAATCAGTTGTCGGTGTGTATCTCAATATTGGCTGGTGCTAGAAGGCTAATTCTTACACCATTCTACTCCAACAGTCTATGCGCAGGTCCATGTCCCATCACCTCATTCTCCAAGAAAGGAAGAAGTGACACTATGACTGTAGCATCAGTCAAAACATACCTCATTCCGCCATTTTGTTATTAAAAGAAACATGTGCTCCAAAATTTGGGTGGTCGCGCATGCTCAGATCTCAGAACTGGGAAATGCAAGCAATTTTTTTATCTAGCTCGTATCTAGCTATGCTTGGATCAACTGCAATACTTAGTGGAGGTTCCAGGCTTCTAGTTCTAGCTAAGAGAAGTTATTTAATCTTAGATATCATTGTTTTATTTAAATAAATAATTAATAAATTGTATTTTTAAAGATTACAAACAATAATGTTATTAAAACAATGATCATGAACTTGACAACAGGAACAACACAGGACAGGATTGCAAGGAAGATGGATACTCTCACTGCTTCTTGAACAAGGACTCATGTCAAGACTACTATTTAATTTAACTATAATTTTACAAGATACATAGTACAGAGAGAGCAGAGGAAGCATCCTGAAGGACTACCAGCAAGAGCTGCTGGCACCCAGAAAATCAGAAAAGAAAGGAAAGGGAAAAATGAATGAATGAATATATTTAAAATATGCATATAAATAAAGATTATAATATACATAAATAAATAAATAATCAAGGAGAATTAACAATGATGGCAAATAAAATCAGAAATTGGAAATGATAGGCTCAAAGTGGAATTAGATGGGTAGCACAGCCAATAGATCAGCTTTCACAACTAAAACATTGATCAGTATAGAATTAACTATTCACCAGAATGGCAATGGATACTATCTGAAGAAATATTATTACAAATATTATAAAAAAATCAACACAAACAAGAACATAAAAAATTTTAAAAAAACAAGATGGAGTAGGA